CGTCCTCCCGTCGCAGGCGAATGCCACGAGACCTGACCGGTCTCTTTCTCGAAGGGCTGGATGGATCTTTTCGATTCCCGGCACATCGGAGACGCCAGTAATGGCTGCAATTGTAGATGAATGCCTGGTCGGATGAAAATGGCCGGGCTAGTACCAACGGTAATCGTCCTGGGACGTTGAGGTGGGGTTTCACGACCTGAGGCCTGCAGACCCAATCGACGTTCTTCTTCCGTGCCTGGCCACCGCACAATGGCCAGGTAACCGGCCGTGTGCTGCCTCAGGCATGTGTTAGCACCACACATGTTAGCGGAAACACACCTTCGATGTTTTCCTATAGCGAAACACCTTCGGCTACGACGACAGCGCCTGCGCATCACCAGCATTCCGACACCACACTCTTTAATAGCGCTGCGGCAGGCAGTTCTAGCTAGCAGCATGGCCGCGAAATAGCGTGTTGCTCACAAACTGCAAGCCGTCAGGAAACCGCGAACAACGGCCATCGTTACAGCGCGAAAACACCTCCGATGTTTTCTGCAGCACATTATCTGCGATGTTTCATGTGCATCCGACTGCTAGCTAGCACACATTGGCGTAACTCGTTCCTCCTCATGAGTGCAGGAAGACGTTCCAGAATCTGGCCTATTCCTGGGGTTTGTGGTTGAAGGGCGAAGTGGCAGCCGCGAAGTTGGCCGGCTAATCCGCAATCCGTCCAACCTGTTGCCGTGCGATCCTTGCTGACGGAAAGTGTCTTGCTCTGGCTCAGCAACCTTCGTTCGATGTCGTGGCAGAAGCCTCAACTCAAGACATCACACGGAACTTCTGTGGTGCAAAATCCATTGAAACAGCACAAACGAAGGCTCACCGCCTACCAGTTGATCAAGCAGCGGCTATGATTTACAAGTGGGACATTGGACAGGCACACCCACATGCCGGAACTTGAGCATGTGCGTACAAGTGTTCGCAGAGCCCGCAAGCGCAAGAACTTCTTACAAAAGGTTCCAATGCACTGAGCAACACAGGAAGGCATACGGTTTTCACGATGTTTAATGCCAAGCCACAACTTAGCATCAGTTGGCCGCTTCAATTCAGAATGCACGCAGAACAGCTTGCATAATTCATGAGATGCTTGCTCTCGATCTAGAACAGCTCAGCACAGCCCGTGCAACCTGCACACATCAGGGCCTGCCAGACTGTCGACAGCGACGTGAAGGCAATCAGATCACCCGCAGCCTGGCCGTGCGACAGGACGAAGCATTCACCAATAGTGTCTTACATGAGGCTTGCACCAGCTTCTGCACAATCCGAAGTTTTACAGCTCCTCGAGTCCTCGTCGCCGGGGCTAGCGGGCTAATCATCCCTCGTGCTGTAGAAGCCCTTGCGCATATCAATATCATAGGGTCGCTTTGAGCGAACCCCAGGTGCGGCTGTCCGCCATCATCCGGTTCCCCTTCTGCTTAGAGGCCGGCAAACAGAAGGAAACTCACCCGCTGCACGGGCGCCGGACTCCGGCTCTTCGCAGGGAGTCCTGCCGCTTCAGTGTCAGCGGCGTGCGCTTTCGTTTGACACCGGAGCTGGGCTTTTTCATCGGGCGCTTGCGAACCAGATGCGCTTCTTCTTTTCGTTTTTCGTGCAAAGGCAACTTCGCTTTGCACGGCTTCTTGACATCGGTGAGCTCGCTGCACCAGGACTCCCATTCTGCCCGCTTCCAGATAGTGACGGAGGTGGACCTGGCCAATAACTCTGCTTGAGGCACTTGTCGGGTGGTTGGCCAGTAGAGAGCGTTATTGTGGACTATGTTTTTGGCCAGGTGCATGATGGACAGCTTCAATTTGAGTGTGGATTGGTGCATCTTCTGTGTCTCCCGAAACCATGCATTGATCTCGTGGTGGAGAGATTCGTTGGAGGTTGTGCCCGACGGTAAGAGAGCCACTCGCGACGGCTGGAGCATGTGTCGCATGCGACAGTTGTTCAGATACCACTCTGCCCTGGAGTGATCACCGGCGGAGAAAAGAAGCTGGTACAGCTTTCTGTTCGGCCCAGGCGCTATCTTGTTTAGCTCATCACGATGCACTGATGCGATAGCAGCCAGGGCTTGGATCCACTCCAATCGCAAGTAGAAGGGCTTGTCCACCTCCAGCGAGTTGAGGATCTTCTCGGCATCTGCTTTGCGCATTGATCGGTCCTCGATTTGGTTTCGAACCTTTCTTTCTTCCGCCGTCAAAGGTCTTGAGTTGGCTCCAGTATGCACAAGCCCCCAGGATCTTGCATCTGCAGAGAAATCTACTGCAGAAAGCTTGTGCAAGACAGCCCGAAGGGCTTTGGAGCCTGGAGTTCTCTTCCTGCTGGAGGCGTACTCGAACGTCATCGCCAGGTGAGTGGGATCCAGCGTCATGACCTGCAGATTTGGACACACTCTCCGCAGGGCCTGCCAGTATTTATAAGAAGGATTGTCCACGCTGACGAATTGGACCTGGGCCAAGGCGGCAGCGGATAGATTCGTGGTCAGGCTCTTCACCACCTGATCACTGTCGTCTCCAGAAATGGCATCCATGAGGAGCACAGCATTGGTGCGTCCTCGGCACGTCAGCACCTCGGACGCAGAATTTCTAACATGTCGCTCTTTCGTGTGTTCAGCAACTGAAAGATAGTCCTCAAATCTTCAGTTTAGTTTAATTGACTCTTCCAAGAGGCTCTGGTCAAAGCCGTTTCACCTGCAAACACAGCATTGTCCTTCAGCTCCTTTCTTGCACGGGGATGCACCTGTCCCAGGATTGGCAAACAGCATCGAAGGGTTGCATCGATGCTGATTGCCTGCATCTCTTCATGGTCCAGGAGTTCCTTTGAGAGCTGCGCCGAGATGCCTTGCACCGTTCCAGAAGAGAAAACGTCCTCAATGAGCGGCCACCAATGTCTGGAGTGGCGTGGCAGTAGGCTGCAAACCTCCCCTGGGAAGCGTGCAGTCATGCGCGCGTGCAAAGCATAAACCTCAGTGCGAAAGCCGGCAGCTTCATGCTTTGCTTCTTTACCTTGTGCGCTGACAAAGTGCTGACTGCTTCAAATGATCCAAATCTTTCATGAATTAGAAAGGCCCGGGCACCTTTGCATCGCACGTAAGAATATCCTGGAACAACATTTGCGCGAACTCATGCGTGTAGTACATGTTCCGCACTCGCCTCCACGAACTTTTGAAAACTGTTTCCGCGTTCCAGTATTGTGGTCCTTGCCCTGTAAGGACGAGACGAATGTGCCTGTCGATGTTCATATCTTTCGAAGACAAAGGTGGCGAAACAGTGGACCGCAAGATTGCTGCGCTTCTCTTCAAGAAATTGGGTTGGCGAGCGCGACGTTGGCATTGGTCGCAGTCGTGCAGCGCAATAATGACTTTGAGCTGCTTGGTCCCACTTGGCACGTATTGCTTGCGTTGTACATGGTGATTCTGCATGTGCTTCGTAACTCTGGTCTTGGACTGTTGCGTCGGCCAGGATCGAAAGGGGCATAAAGGACATCTGAACACGCCTTCTTCGGCTTTGATTTGATGATTGGCTGCGCTGCGCACCCAGTTCCCAACCTCGAGCTTCATGGCAGCTAGGATTTCATCGGCTACCTTTGTGATGTGCTCCTCTGCCTCTTCTGCCCCAGACTCGTCCTCGTCTGCCTCGATTGGCAAGATGTCATGATTGTCGTCGACATCGATGACGAGATCCAAGCCGTCGTCTCCGAGGTCACCTGCGGCTTGCATCTCCAGGAGGGACGCTAGCTCCTCGCTTGATGCATGTTGGGAGTTAATCTTCTCACCATACTCTGCCAGGAAGAAGAAGACCAGCGGCTTCACATAAGTAGCCGTATCAATAATTGTCTGGAAAGAGGCACGCGTCAAGGTAAAACCCATGCATCCGTTCTTCACATGGACCTTGTCGTCGCCTGCAAACTCCACGGCAACACAGTGGGGCTTGCCGTCTCTGACGATGTGCATCAAGATTTTGGCGCCTGCCTGGGGCATCCAAGTTCAGTCAGTACACTAGTGCATAGTCTACACTACAGACTTATGAAGTTTACTGGTGACCCATACACGAAAACACTTTTGACCGCTGAAGCCTCAGCTCCGTCCAAGAAGAGCCGCGGCGACATCGGCACATCGCAACCTTGGGACACCTGTTCATAGGTGCGATGCTTTCTTCTTTGAAAGTACACGTGATGTGGATGCTCGTGACGGCCTTCCATAGCCAGCGCCTGTTCTCCGAATCCTAGATGATACAAGGCTGCCAGGATACAATTGCCGATGGCCAAAAGCGGAGCTGGGCAATCCACGGAAGTATGCTCACCGATGTTGTCCAGCATATGGAACACATCCGGATGTTGCTTTGGCCGGATGCAAACCTGGAAGCCTGTCTTCTCTTTGATGTGCGTAGAGCAAGACTCACAGAATGCATTCACATCAGCTCCCAAGATCTTCTTGTCCACTCGAACACCATCGAAGTGCAGAGATAGATGCTCTGGAGACAACGGCATAATTTTGTCCAACCACGCATCCAAAATCTTGTCTTCGACAACGTTCCATAGATATGTCAGAGCCGAGACATCCGGACGATCCTTGCAGCTTAGAAGTCGCGAGTACGCTTCTGGAATGGCGCTGGCTGCTATCCACCGGCAAACAATAGAAGTTTTCTGCAAATCCACACAGAACTGGTTCTCAGCGTACCCAGCGGGAATTTTGCCCCCGTTGAAGATCTTTTGCATCATCTGCTTGCCTTCAGACATAGTCATCCGCAACTTCTGTTCAATCAGAGTGGAGCGCTCTTGAGCACACTCGCGAAGGACTTCCTTCGCCTTTGGCCACAAGGGATGCTGTGGTTCAAGCTTCACAAGAAGTTGGTGCATCAGGACAAAGCTGCAGTTTTCGATGTCCAGATCGACCGTCTCATCGAAGACAGAAGTCTGCAAAACTTGGCTTAAGTTTTGTGCTGCGTGACGCTGCACAGCGTATCTCCGCGTTCTGAACTCCGGCATCTTGTACTCGTATTCAATTTTCAGCTGATGTTGCGGCAGACCTGCAAACGGACATTCTCCAGCAGATTGCAATTGTCGCTGCGACTGTACCTCTTCTGGAATGCCACTCTTGCGTCGTCGACGCCTCTTGAGCGCAGGAGCCGCTGCAGCACTCGGAGAGATCGGGTCCACGTACTCCAGGAGCGCCTTGGCGGCATCTTCTTGGGTCACAATCTTGTCTTGTAAAGATCGCCACCACCCAAGACTTTCCTCGACCGCCTGACTCTTCCTGCCTTTGCCTTTCTCCAATCTTGTTATCACCTTCTCGCAGAGATGTGCAAGCAGATGGAAAGTGACCTTAGACTAGTGTCTTACACACAACTTTCAACTCATTGCACGCCAAGCCTTAGCATAATTGCTGCTTTGCAATGTTGCTGTATCTAAGAGCTCTGCCTCGCGAGTGGCATTCTTCTCGATTGCATTCCATAAGGCCACCGCATTGACTTTTTCCTGTAAAACTAGCTCGTCGCGAACTGGACGAGGGTTGCACACTTCGGACATTTCCTTTTTGCATCTGAAGAAAGGAATGCAAACCTGCGGTGCTTCTTTGCTGTCAGCAGGCAGAAGGAGCTTCCTTTTGAGTAAATCATCCCACGCATCCTTGCCAAGCCCCAGCTTCGACGGCGCAAACCTGTCCCACCATTTCTTCGTGAAGCTCTGGTTGTTGGGCGGAGAGGTCGGAGACACTAAGTATTTGCCCCAAGCCAAGCCCCAATCAATAATTGTTTTCATAGTCTTCTGCACAGGATCGTCTTCGTCTTCTTCATCGACTGTATGATGACCACGCAGGACGGCTGCCAATTTGTCTGTCGATCCCTCCGCCGAGACTTCCTGACCATGTACAGCACAGCACAATCACATGAGGGTACGAAACAACAAGTTCAAAAGGCAAGAACACATCCGGCACAGTAGCCCCGGGGCCCGATATCTCTCTCTCTCTCTCTCTCTCTCTCTCTCTCTCCGGCCTGACGTGGCTGAAGACCACATGCTTCCCTCATCTTGTGCTCCGTGGGACCCGCTGTTGCACAATCATCGATGACTTTATAGCAGTCCTCTCGCGAATGCGTAGTCTCAAAGCCATGCTGCATTCGCAAGGAGGCCGCGATGGCTGGACCACCTTCCAAGAAGCTACGCAAAGTCGGATCTTTAGGAAAGATACCATCGGATGGAGCATCCTGGTAGTCTGCCAGACAATCTGCATCCACGAACAAGGCCTTGGGTATCCAAACAAGACACCTGCGAAGAATTGAGTTGAAATTTCGCTCCTTGACATTGCGGAAACTCATGATCTGATTCGTCTCGATCCTTTTCCACCCCATGACACGGAGCATGCGAGTGATGTAACCATACGGCCTCCTTGCAGCGAGGTCGTCGGCGGAAACCATTTTCTTGAACAAGTCTTGCTGGAAAGTTCGATTAGTTTCCGGCGCTTCCTGCGCGGTGATCATGCAACAATGAGCAAACTGCTCGAGTTGCTTCCGCATTTCGTCTTCGTTGTGGAATAGATTGGAATCCACAAAGGCGTGGTTTTGACTGTACACAGCGTTCAAATGGCTGCTGTAGAGTGACTGACCTGTGCCGCCTGGTGATTCGCCGATGAAGCAACGATCGATGTTGAGACCTCTCTTGGCGAGGGCGATGGCTGCACAGCACGCTGTAAAGAAATCTTCATTGCACCAGAAGGTTTCCCTGAAAAATTTCTGCAGTCTGACGGTGGCTGCCTCTAAGCAAGGATCTTTCAAACACAAAGGGTGAGGAATGCGCACATAGATGTTGTTGCGAGGATGGGGATTGACGATGCGCAAATTCTCTGTCTCCGAAGCGTCATACTTTACGCAGCAATCAGCGTAAGCGCACCCGGGCTGCCGCTGCGATGGAGTGTTGCACCAATGCGCCACATATTGTAGAAGCCTCCTTTCCTCCAACAGATCTCTCTGCAAAGGTGCCACGATCTTCGCAATCAGCTGCGCAACGTGTATGGTCCACGAGTGAGAACCCACATCCTGCACAGCATCCTCATTCTCGGCGTCTTCTGCCTGTCTCTTTTGTCGCCCAGCGGATCGTTTGCTGTTGCCCAAACACATCACAGCTGCGTCTGCGCAATCGTTGAAAAGCTCTTCAACAGTGTTGCGCTGCTGCAACAGGGCCTGGATGTTGTCCAGCAAGCTCTCATCGGTCCGGTGTATTGTGCTAGGCAGCAACCGAAACAAGCCCTCCAACCTCTGTAGGTACGATTTCACTAGAGCGAAGATGGACTCCGGTGGAATGCCAGTGTAAGGCTCGAAGGCGCCGTGGTCGTGGTAGAGAAAACATACTCCGTTGTGAGCGCGTAGATATTCTTCGCCAATCATGACCCAGATCAAGGCCACAAAATCCCGAACAAAGACGTCTGTGTACCTCGAACGATAAATTTCCAGGGCGCCTGCAGCAAGACGAACCAACGTTTCTGACCAATGCGGAAATTTTGCTTGCACGTGAGCCTTCTGTGAGGCTGAACGATCTTTGATCGATCGCTTTCGTTGGTCATGCGCCACCAAAGCCCTTTCTGGCACTGATTCCCTGAAACCGCTCTCTGCTTTCTGGAAAAAGGAACGAAAGGCATCGGCAGTGTGCTGTGCTCCAGGCAGGAAGCGTCGTTGCCTCGCTGCAGTGTGTGTGGCGTCTGCAGCCAGATCTGGACCCGCCGCCTGAGTTAGCACAAGAGCACTCAAAGGAGCTCCGGAATCCTGCTCCATCAAAGCACTTGAATCCGGCCCAGGCTGCTCTGGGACAGGAATTTGATCTTCATCCAACGCTTGATTTAAGTCTTCCTCTATTCTTCGAGCAAAGGAGCTTTGCGAGCCGGATAACAGCGATCCGCCGCTCACTTCTTGCCACTCACAGCCATTTGTCTGTCTGGAAAGACTGAGGCGATGCGATTGGAGAACGGCCTCGACCTCCGTACTCATGTCAGGAACATGGTCGATGAAGGGCCCGGTTTCTTTGTTGTCCGGATGGAGGCAAACCACCAGCATGGCCTTGACCCGGAGATCGTAAGACTTTTCCAGCATGTATTTGTACACATTCAGCTGCAAGCGGTAGTGAATGCCACAACAGTCAGGCAGGTGCGCCAGCGGAGATTTCATGGAAGCCCAGGAGTTCTGGTACTTGGATCGCAGATCCTTTGTTCGCTTCCAGTCGAAGATGATGACCTCCGTGGCTGAGCACTTGGCAACGAAATCGATGCAGCCCGCCAGCTGGTCTTGTTCTGAGTAGATGCACCATTCAGTCCTGAAAGCAATGGCGGGGACTTGAAATTGGCTGAGAAAGCGGCGAAACAGATCCAGCTCGCAATATTCTCCGTCAGCACAGCCGCCGTTCATGCAAACTTCAAGCTGCAAGTGCATCCATGTCCCTCTGGAAGATGCGTCCTGCGAATTTGTAGCCCACTTCTCTTTGATTTCTTCATTCGAAAGAGGAACCAACGATCCATCGATGACCCGGGAATACTCTGGTCGGGGCCACCGAACACTGCCTCTCATTTTCTGAATGGCCAAATCTGCATCGAACTCCTGTGCAAAACGATGCACCAGCCCAGTAACAGACAACGGCAAGGCCTTCCCATGCACCAAATAGGTGTGAGTGGACTGGATGAACTCAATGTGCTGGTCTCTGGGGTGCGCGTGGATCTGTTCCAGCAAATGACATTTCACGGCTGGAAATGTACAGCGCAGGAAGTTTGCGGAGGCTTCAGGCAGAATCGGAAGTGCTACTGTTGCGCTGTCAAAGAAAGGCTATCTTATCATCGAGGTACCAGGACCGTACGTGGGACACACATAAGGAGAAAAGCATCTGTTCCACTCCTGTGTGAACTCATCGGCAGCTTCAAGTCGCGTTCGCGGATCCCTCTGCTCCTGACGTTTCCTTAGTGCAATGGCCCTGTGCTCGCTCAGTCGGAACCACTGAGAATGAGTGGGCAGGGTGACCGTGCTTTTTGCCAGAGAGCCTCCCAACTTATCTTGCCAGTATTCAATCTCGCGGACCACGTAAGAAAACTTCTCTGCCTGCTCATCCAGCGAGATTGTGTGGAAGAAGCTGACTGCGTCTGCAAAGATCTGATCATGACTTCCGCCGACGTAATCCAGGAGCTGATTTGGACAGTGGGGACACAACCGCGTCGGTGTCTGGGCACAATGAACCCTGCAAATCCAGGAGTCGCAGAACGGACAGACTGCCCATCGTGGAAGCAAAATACCTCTGTGGGCTCTGTGGCACAAAGCACAGTGGATGAGTGGATCCAGCCGCACTCGCGATGGGACAGGTCGCAAAATTGCAGAATGCATCTCAGGGCGAGGTCTGACGTGAATCCAAGTGAACACCCTGGCCAAAGGCGACACAGCATTTTCGGCGTCTTGAGGAAGAAGTGCCGCGGAGATTCCTGCGCCGTCAATGGAAAGGCGGAAAGTGCGCTGGTCCCACTGCAGTTCCACGCGGTGGGAATGCTCTGGGCGAAGCTGGCAGCGTTCGCGTCCGCAGAGACGCTGTGGAGCCATGTCATTCAGTGCAAAGGAGATCGAGCTATCTTCCCGGAAAAGGTTGTCCGCTCGGCAGTAAGCTCTGTTGGTCCCTCGCCACGCCTGCACGCCCATGTAAAGGCCCACAGCATGATTTGGAAGAACCAAGTCAAATGTTGCGAATCCCATGAGTGGGCGGTCTGAAGTAAAACCAGACACTCCACGCGGAACACGTCTTGCTGCAGAAGCCGTCCAGTCAAGTAGCATGCGCTCAGGAAAGATATGAAACATGGCGAGTTGTCGCACATCCACCAGGCACAAGCGGGCAGCTGTGTAAAAGTAGACCATGCTGCGCAAGGTGAGTTCGTCCTGGAACTCGATATCCGTCAAGAAAATGCGATTGTTCCGCCAATGCTCGCGATCTCGAACACATCGGCGCATTTGCTGGGAAACACATGCTAGCGTCCGAAGATACGCGAAAGAGAAGAAGAAGCCGGGCAGCGTGTCCAGGATTTCCGGCGGTAGCATGCCTCCACTGTAGCTCAACTCCCAGGAAAGACTGTTTTTGTCATGCTTCCGAGCAAGAGCTTCATCTGCTGCAAGAGAACCCCCAGGCGTATCTTTCCAGTCTTTCTCGACTTCTTTCCTGACCACCGAAACGACTTCCTTTGCTCGAGAGCTTCGAGACGTTTGATCTTCAAACAACAGTGTATGAAGGTGTAAAGCGCAATCCATGGCGGACGAGCGCCAATCTTCCAGGCCGTCGACATCCGAAGGGTGTTGTAAATGCAAGAGCGGATTTCTCTTGGCGTCAGCCAGGTGCTCTGCTTCTGCGTGCAAGAATCGGAAAAGCAACACATCCTTTTTCTGCGTCAGAAAATCAAGAATGGCTCGGGCTCGAAACATGACTCGCTCCCACACACGTTTGCTCATATCTTCCCTGGCTTGTGGATGCGGAACAAATCGCACTGCCAGAGGCGCTTCTCGCAGGAACTCTTGATGCTCTCGCAGAAGCTGTAGGACGACATTCTCGAACTTGTCTTCACCTGGTTGGAGTTCTTCGCCACGTTGCAAAAAGAACTCAGCTGCATGGCGGTAAGGTGTTATCGCAGTTCTCCACAAATGAACGGACATCTGGTTGCTGCCACCGATGTAATCTGACAGCTGCAGCGGGCAGCCGGGGCAGTGATTCCTGGGAGATACCTCGGCATGTCGAGCGCAGATCCAGGTGCAGCACTCTGGACACACACGCCATTGCGGTGTAGTGATCGGATGTAACTCCAGACACAGAGCACACTGAATGCGTAGCGTTGTCATGACAGGCGATGGCAAAGGATTCACTCTCAGATCATGTCGCGTCAGCGTTTGGGTCGGTTGCTCCGCCCAGACGAACAACGAAGAATGCGGAGCAGGTCCGTCAGGCAGGTCTGCACGGACGTAGGCAAAACCCAGGGGCTGCTTGTTCAAATGCACCGAAAAGCAGCGTTCATTCCAAAGAAGCATGAACTCGTTCCAACCTTTGGTGTTGAGCTGACTTGGCCGCACGGGTCGAGACGTAAGATCTGGCGCCTGCCCAGCCATGCCGAAAGAAAAACCCATACGCTCCGTGAAGAGATCATGGATCTTCACGAAGCTACGTCTGCCGCTGTTCGGCGCCTTCACGCCAATGTAAACGACACTTACGTCAACCGACAGCCAGAGCAGAAGACGAGCGCTTCCGAGAAGGCAATGAGTAGACTCGATGCTGGCGTGCCTCCTTCCATCCAGCCTGACAGGGGCCGTGCTCCACTCGATGCGGGCGTTGAAGGGCAGCTGACGCATGCTTGCCAACTGCGTCTGAGTGCAGGTGATAGTTCGCGCCGCGGACCACAGACGTTCCATTTGTCGCACAGTCACAGGGTCCTGCATCTCCTGGTCATTCAAGAACAAGTTCTTATCGTACCAGACTTCAGGCTGAAGCACGTGTTTTCTCAATGCTTTGCAACATGTAGCCAGAGATCTGAGATAACTGGGCGAGAAGAAGTACTGCGGCAGGCGAGCGAGAATCTCCTGCGGCAAGAATGTACTGTCATTGCTGTCTGATCCCCCACCATAGTCGGCCGCATCTTCAAGGTCTNNTTCTGCATCGCTCCAGTGGATGTACGTATCAGGCGCCGCGGGTGCGTCCTGCTCCTGTTCCTCCCAGTCGTCAGATTCTAACAGGACATGGTCATCGGCTACGACAGCAAAAACAGCATCGAGATTGCAAGGATTCAGCGCGAATTGACCGCCCCGCAGCATCTGGACTGCTGCACCAGATGTTTCTGCAGAGAAGTGAAGATCCGACCACAGGTGCGTCTTCCAGGAGGAATTAATTTGCAAACCATGTCCGTTCTGGTGTCGCACGGGCATGAAGTGCGAGTCAAACGCCAGGATGAAGTGTCCGGGATGGTGAAGCACCTCCGAGATGGACGAGGGCCTGATGGTCTTTCCCAACGGTCTCAGCCACTCGATACCGTCCCTGATTCGCCAGGGGCCATCTCCTGGGTAAGAGATTTTATGGCCCAAGGCTCGCAGAGAGTCGACCAAGCAGCAATCGCGGAAGTGCCGCTTGCCGAAGCTCTTGTTCCGGCTTGGAGGGTACCCTGGCGCGTCTGCCTTTGGCTGGCCTTGGCGTCATAATGTTGAAGGCATTGAAACTTCAGAGCTTGGCCTTTATTATTACAGGCGCAGGGCACAACCTTTCCAATCGTGTTACTGAGATGCAAGGAGAGCTGGTCTTCCATACCCTGCAAATCTTCGGTGCGTCGAAGGTCCTCCGATACCGACCCTGGAAGCCCTTGTACCAGGACGACCTCGAGATTCGGGAATGTGGCCAAGGCGTCCGGCGCACTCCCCAAACCTTTGGCTTCAACCTCTCCAAGATGGACTTGACGAAGTAGTCGCCTGATATGCTGCGTTGCACCAGACATGAAAAATCAGAATCATGCTCAGGCCATGTTTGAATTTGCCAAGCAGCACCACTCAATTGGATCGTCTCGTCCGCTTGGCTGCACCCACTCAGCGATCACCAAGTAGAGCCCGTTGTGCTCCAGGAACATCGTCTGCCTGTCGACGAGAGGCTTGGCTCGGACCATGCATCGGCTTGGTAGCCGATCAGCCATCACACTAACCCATGAAGCCTTTCCAGGAACTGACGCCTGGCCTTGCTGGAGCCAAGCCTTTTGCTTCGCTCTGACGCATTCTTTCCGCGACGCCGTGGAAGAAGTAATCGCCTCAGCAGCTTCCGTATTTCTCATTAGAATTTTAACAACACGACAGCCGTTGACTTGGCCAAAGTGCACCACTCAGTACCATCAGCTCGTCCGTGCGGCTCCATCCACTCACCAGCCACCCAATAGTAGCCGTTGTGAACAACGAACTCACACATCCCGCACAACGTGCTGGAATCCTCTGTTCGCCTCGAAACATATTGGCACGCGATGATGCGCGCTGCAATATCGCGCAACCAAAGAAAACTAATTCTTAGAAGCGCACGTTTCAGGCTCCGCCGCTTGATTCACTTGCAGGCGCATATCCAGCTCGGGCCTTGGCGTCCGAACTACCCAAGCAAGATACCGCACATTCACCTACACATGCGCTGCGACGAAATGGAGTCTAAGGAACTTCTCGGCAGAAATACTCGGCACTGACGACGCGATGGGCCTTTGCTTGCAAAGAACCGCTCACAAAAGGAACGTTTTGGGGACCGATGTACGAATCTGTGACAGAGCTATAGAGTCTGAACAATTCCACACGTTCACAAGGACGAGAGGCTGCTCCGCATGCTTTGCTGTGGCCGCAATCGCTGGCTGCCTGCGGAAAGAAAGCAAGAGAGAACCCGCTCACAAGTCATTGAAGCACAAGCAAAGAAAAGCTTGTCCGTCCTTTTGCGGCGAGGACCGCGGTTCTTGCACTTGTTGCCCCTGAGCTCCTCCCTACGCTGATAGTAGCCGTCTTCCTTGGATCCCTTGCCAAGCGTCCATCGTAGACAGGGTCCTGTGTAATGTTCCACTCCAGTCTTCCGCTTGCGGTTGCGGCCTCCACAATGTGGAATCAACACCAGTGCCTTGGACTTCCTCGAGAGCTTGTTGGCTATGGCAGAGAAGGGAAGTTTCTGTGGCAATAGCGTCGCCCAGAGGTGCCCATTCAGAGAGGTCCGGAGCGGATACAAACCCTCTACAAAAGGAGTGGCTGGAAGGGCTGGAACATGAACCTTGGTGAATACCTTCTCTTTCGCGTTGACAGCAAGGGAGGCCTGACCTTTGAAGCGGCAGCAACACAAGTCTACGTACCCCAAAAGGTTGCACATGGCACGTCGAACTGCAAAAGAGAAACCGCGTGGGCTGAGCATGCCGCTGGGAAGGCGCTCAACAGCCGTTGCCGGGTTTACGAACACGTTGCCGTGGCCTCATTCAACCGGTCGCTACCACGCATGCTCAAACAGGAAAAGAGTGTTCGAGAACACAAAGTATTAGAACAGCTGGGGCTGAGTCCTCTCGGATCTCCCCTCAGAATAGACATGAAGATGCCACGGCCGTGCTCCAAATCCAGCTGCTCTCTGTCATTCGCATTGAGTGAGGCCTGACCTTTGAAAGCCGCTGCAACGCAAGTCTACCTACCCAGCCAGGTTGGACATGGAATGTCGAACTGCGAAAGAGAAACCGCATGAGCTGAGCAAGCCGTTGGGAAGGTGCTCAACCGCCATTGGCGGGCTTACGAACACATTGCCGTGGCCTCATTCATCCGGTCGCTACCACGCATGTTCAAAGAGGAAAAGAGTGTTCGAGAACACAAAGT